ATTCAGTTAATATTTCGTCAATATTTCAATATAACAGAATAAATTATGTAATTATACATTATACTGTATAATGTTACCTTATTCAGGAGATGTTTGGGGGGTTGTGCGTTGAATGGTAGTCCGGAAGGCGGCGGCGGCTTGCTGGGCTGCTGGAGAGCTGGCGGGATGTATATTGGCACGGGGGGGATCACCACCGCCTTGCCCCAACCAAGCTTCATCTCGTAGTTCATTATTTCTTTACCTGGATATAAAAATAATGTAAACATTAGGTATTGATGTCTCGCTATTTATTTTATGTTTAAAGTCAGACAGAAACCGTTTTAAACAAATATAATCACTATCAGTATATTAATGGATGTTAACACAAATATTACACCCATTTTTCGGCAGATATGTTATAAATCATAATATACTTAATATAAAATAAACTATTTTGTATATACTAATAACTTTCAATATAAAAGACGAAGCCACGAATCAAAACATAGTTAAATAATTTAGTATTTACAAAAAGTATCTTACCATTGATACACCTAAGCGCTCGCTCGCCATCCTTGCGCGACATGAAGGCTACGAACCCACAGTTGCGACCGCGCGCCTTCTCCTCATCAGACCGAGGCCACATGATCTTTATACTGGCCAGGGGACCATAGCGACCGAATATCTCCATTAATTGCTGCTCTGTTATCTACAAAATAAAGTTTATTGTATGTACATTTTTTAAATCAACATAATTATAATAAAAGATATTCTCTAGAACAGTGGTGATAATCTTTCTTAGAAACAAAAAGAACCTTTAGTTGGCACTAGTTTGTGCACCAGTCGTTTAAAAATAATTCTAAGACATGTCTATTGTCTAACCACAACAAATCTTTTCTTTTACAATAGAAACTAATCAAAAGAGCTCCTAAATAGCTCTCAGTTCTTAACAACTACCGACCGAAAAGTAATGATTATAGTAAAAATAATCATTCACCTTAGGATTCAAATTGCCGAGGTACAAGTTGGTAGTGTTAGGGTCTCCAGTGTCATATGACCCCACGTCCGGTATGATGTCGAGCGAGGGTTCCACCCCCACAACACCGCGCTCGCGCAATACATTCTTATACTTGTGTCGCTCCGATCTTTCTTCTTGTATCCTGTAAAATATAAACTTTGAATAATATTGTACATTGTATAATTTTTGTTGGTTTAAGTAGCTATTGATAGTCTATTATTATAGATTACTTAGTTATTAAACGAGTTAAGCAAGATGTCTATTTGTATTATGGCGCATAATAAATATAACCGATATTAGAGCCTCTAGCCAAATGCCACTTTAGCGCTTGTCTACCTAAAGAGTAAAAAACTCAATGTATGGGGATGACACTCGCAAGTGTCAAAATTTTAGTCAATTCCATATTATTTAGTTCTCTACTCTATTTATAGACAACAGCTAAATGTTATCAATATAATTGACATATTATTTATATTTCTCTAGTATATAGATTACTATACTATACTACTCACTGTCTCAATTCCTCTTTGAACAACTCTAGGTTACTTTTCTTCTTGTCCTGTCCTTTCTTCTTGGCATGAGGCCGGCCTGGAGGCTCAGGCCTCTGTACTAGAGTGCGGACTGGGTCAATTTCTGGGATACTCCGTTTTTCATCTAAGCGAGATACTGGCTTGTACAATTTGCCTCTCTCGGAGGTATCTTCCTCTGTAAATAAAATGTTCAATTAATACTTACTTTCTGTAATTTGTAGTTAACTATTGTAACTATGCTAAATTATCAACAAATAGTGAGACTCAGTAAATATAGTTAGGCCACTACAAATGTGTGTCCTGTCATGTCAAAGGAATGTGACAATGCCGCACAACTCGCATAAGTGTGAGTGAAAAATCTAATAACAATTATGACAGTTCGCAAGTTTGTAATGGCCTAGCTATAGTGAGTTTTCAATAGCTTATTCAATATAAACCAGCCAATCTGGAAGTTACTAGAGGAGGCCATTGTTTAGCAGTGGATAATGAATATTATGCATCAAGTAAAATTAAAACAAAACACAAAAATGTATGGAGTGATACAAACTTCTTGCGCCCGCATCATATGTGCCTGCCTTCACCCAGACTTTACTTGTGGTACTTGGAACCTCTTGAAAAGTTTCCACAAACTCCTTGAATACCTGTTTAACAAATGGGAGAGGATCATCATCAACAACAGCCTATAAACACCTACTACTGAGCAAAGCCTCTTCTCACTCAGAGAAAATTTTGAACATTAATTACCACACTTGCTCATTGCGGGTTAGTGATTATAAACTTATTATTACAAATTATAAGTCCAGATTTCCTCATAATGTTTTTCTTCACTGTTTGTCAGTGGTGCCTATATAATCTTAGAAAGTACATATAACTCGGAAAAAGTCACATGTAGTAGTAGGTTTTGTAACTGCACCCTCATGCATGAGAAGCGGGTGTCTTAGGCCTCTAAGCCACAACGACAATGGAAGAGGAAGAGGAAACTTAAACCATTTTTCTAGAACAACAGGCATTAAGATTTATTTGCTTCAATTTAACTACCTACTCAAGCATGGTTTAACTTGGCCTGCTCGCCTTCTATTGACTATTGAGCATAGCTTGGTTATTTATATCCTAAAGCCTACCTAATAAGAAGAATATGATTAGATCAGAGAACCAATCACAATACATTAAAATAACAAAAAGAAAGCAGTATAGCAAGGCTAATTACATTTTATCGTAGAGTTTTTTTAAGTGTTGGTCCAACAATTGTTTACAGGACAAACAAAATATTACAATAATTATCTATGTAGTATGTACATACTATACTAAGGAACACAAACTTGTTTTTTGTAAAGTAGGTAAGATGTTCGTAAAGTTATCTTTTACCATGTCACCATTCTGTATTCTCTTATTGAACTAGCTAGAAATGATTCAATACTATGTTGTGTACAAAACTACAATTTTGTTCACATTATCTGTAGTTTATTTAGTTACCTAATTCTGTAGAACTATATTAGCATTGAATTATATTGTTTTATTAAAGTGTATTGGAGTAAAAAATGGAGTTTAGTTCTAAGTATTAGTATACTTCAGGAATTTACAAGTATCAATAATAATTATCAGAGACCACAAATACTTACATGAGCGGCCGCCTCTTCTTCTTCTTTCTTTTTAAGCTCCTCCAACTCCTTTTTAGAAAGCCCTCGAGAGCTCATGTTGACAAATTATAGATTGTCGACAGCCGACATCCAAATCAAAATTTCAATTTACACATACCTAAGTACAGTATTCATATAGTTCCGTAACATAAAAACATTACATTTTATTATTAATAGACACTATACAATTCAATAAACTGCTGTTAAAAGTCGAATTTCTTGCTTATTTTATAAATCTTGTAAAATTAAATAAAATAACATATCATAACCTCACAACGTCAATGCTCAATGGCCAGGCCACAGACTAAAATACTGTCTGTCAATCTGTCATAGTGTCGTACTTAGGCGTTCGTTTTTCGTTTAGTCAACGCTTAGTAAGTTAGTAGTCTAGCTAGTTCATGGATTACTTTTCTAAGCATTCCGCTTCCTAAAAATGTTAAAGATAAACATATTAACATACTTTTAAAATTAAAAATGTCCAAGTTCATATTTAAAATAATATATTAATTTACTATAAAAACAATCTTTGTGTTTTGTTATTAGCAAGCAAAAAAAAAACGCGGCAGTTTGGATGGAAATATGTGCCGTACATAGCATACCTAACAGGTTTCCCACGAGGTTTCCGGTGCCAGTGGTGAAATAAAATGTATTTGTAGATATCTAACGCTTGAGAGACGCTACGGATGGCGCCCTCATCTACCGCCAGACGCAATTGCAACGGACACCGAAGTTTCAATACTTTCGGTAGGTTAATGCCGGCGCGTCGGGTTTCGCGCGCACCTCAAGGAGCCATCAGACCACCACAGATGGGGCCCAATAGGGCTGATACCGATACGGAGCCGTGAAGAGATTAACGGGTTGCCAGGCTCTGGTTCGAAGAAGCAGTACCTAGATAGAAGAAGTAGGAATGGTGTGGGTTTTAGTCAATAAGAATCTGACACTCCATTTCGTCTCACCCAGACGGGAGAAGTCAGCGGATGATTTCCCCCTTGATGATGATAAGAAAAAAAAAGGTAGGTCCATAACAAAAGAACATAACTTCTAGTAGGTACTTAACCAATCCAACGCCACACGTATTGCAAGGACAGTGAAAAAAAGGGTATGGTATAAAAATCGATTAAGTACATAGGTATTTCAATTCTGCGTTTTATTTCTATCAGAAAGTAAGTACTTATGTAATGCATTAGTTCCTTTTCATGTTCAGATCAAATGTTGCAGTCACCGCGCCGGATCGTTTGGTGCGGATACACTAAAGTACCTACAATAAGTTAACTTTCACACGTACTTTTTATACTTGCACGTTCTAACGGACATTATTCGGTGTAAGGTACAAAAAATTGTTCATCATCATCATATCTGCCCAGGTTATTTTAAAGCTGCTGCATGTATCTCATCATTCTTCTGCCATACCTACCTATTTTTGGCAATGGATAGATAGGTACTATAAAAAATATTAGATAGGCACTTATTTTAACCCCTGTTTGTATTAATTAACGATCATCTATTAGTAAGCGAAAATTTAACCAGGCATGATTTATACATTGTTATTCTTTTTTAGTACACTTGTATTTATGCATTAACAAGAATAGGTCGTCCTCTCTAGGCATCCCCCCCCATGACGAATTTTTGCCTGCTCATTCACTTGATATATCGTAAAGTCATTTGTTCGTACAAAAGCAAACTCTAAACATCGCTAATAAGATCGATTATGGAGTGAGTTCGATAGTCTCTGCCTACCCCTATGGACGACAGGCGTGAAGTTATGTATGTATGTATGGAGTGAGTGGAGAGCGGTCATTGGTGACCGTTTGGGGGTGGAAAAAGGCTTTTGGGAGAAAGAAATAACAAACACTAGATTGGTTACATATTATTTATTGAAAAAAGTATACATCAAAAACATTTCGATGTAAAATTAAAAAAAAGAACGTGTGCGATTTGACATTAATGAATGAATTCTGCACAGGATTATAGTGTAGTACCAGCCATAGTTGAACCATTAAACTTGTAATTTCCTTATTTCAATGTGTGTAAAGTGTAAATGTTCCTCAGTTTCAGTACGGCTGGCACGTACATCATACATTTGGGTATCGGACACTAGCTAAGTATTTATTTATCATACAGATCTTTACAGCCAAGTGGTAGACAAGTAGAAAAGTTCATTTCATAAAACGTGTAGGTTATACTTGTGCAAGATAACGTAAAAATTAGCCTCTGAATAGTATAAATTATGTATATTAAAATTGGCTAATTGTACTTAAGAGTATTGTGCCAGCATACTGCATAGGCCACGCTATACCTGTTGGCTGTAAATTCCACTGTTTCGTCTTTTTATTTTGTTCACCTACTATCAATATTACATATTGTTATTTTCACTTAATACTTACATTTAAAATACATAAATAATACAACTTGATAGTAACCGAAACACCGAATAATTTAATGCATTCAAAGTCTATTTGTGTCAAAATAAACTGATAGTAAGTAGCAAGCAGTTAGATCCGAGGCTCGCTACGGGCACAGTTATCATCTAGCCGTTTAAATCCATAATTGGAGGATTGAATTTTTAACACATTTAAAAAATAAACTTACAAACAAGAACAGTTTATTCTGTTTATTAAACAATAGATTTTTGTAATTACGGCCCGTTAAAGAGAAGAATACTTTTGTGCATCATTAAACTTATGAATATAATGAAACATGCCACGTAATATACATAACTATTACACTGTACACAGCAAAACTAATGTACATAGTCACAGAACGAATATCATAAGACGTTAGTGTGTACTTGCCGCTGGGGGGCGCCACCACAGATTATATACCACGCCATCTATTATCGCACATGCTCATATCCCGGTGCATACATAGGTTTTATTACATGCCCAACAAACTAGTCTTAGTAAATAGGGCGGAGCCTATTTCCTCACTATGAACCCAAAGCACGTAATAACCGGAAACTAAGCCCGCAAAGATCACGCCTGCGGCCTGAGGTATTTATAATCTGTGACGTCACGCCAAGCGCGCCATCTATTACACAGACGGAGTCAACCTATAACATAAATACACTAAATTATAGTTCTAGATAATTTATTTGTTAACTTTTATTTATACATCGGTAGTATAATGGAGCTGCATCTTATTAGTCTGTAGATATGCAAGCAATAATCTTACTGGCAATAAAATGTTATTTTACAAGGATTTTGGACCTGAAATTATACCACTGATTGTGTTACTTAACTAAGACAGATGTACTGTGCTAGCAAGTTAAACGAAAAACCCAGGGCGGTGGCGCTTTAGGCTAGTAACTTGTACGATTCACACAGCAGCTTGTATAGTTTCAACCATGGAGCATGCCGAAACGATTATTTAAATAGTATTTACAAAAAGTGAGCCATTTCTATGAGCTCAGTTTAGCACAGTAGTCCAGCTGCACGTAGTGGTAAAGGTGTGTTAGTTTACAAGCAACTGACAATTATTCTGTGTCATACAAATTAGAGGCTGAGACAGCTATGTTGTTATTACATATCATCGTATTGCAAAATGTATATTTCCCCATTTTTCCATTATTTTTTTTGGAAATACGTGACCAACACAGTTATTGAAAGAACGTATTACGTTGATAATAATAATATATTTATTTACATGATAAACGAAACACTCTAATTTATATAACACATAGATCTAACTAAATACTCTAAGGGTAAACGGTAGACTCGCAACACTGTGGGACATTGACAGGAAGGTCGTGTAGACCAAACTCTACAGTAGCGCCTCACTGCGGTGACTTTGTGAACATTTGACAACACATACACTACTGCCCGCCACTCCTCAATTACTCTCGAAGGGAACCGGGACAATTCTTTCGTTGATAGAAATTGGACGAGCTTGCTTCTGTTTAAAAATTACAATAAATACATTTTACATCAACAACTGCCATACAAAAGGGCTCGCCCGACTTCTGAGTGAGTCACGTTTGATACAATATCAGTGAACCCTGCGCCTATGTTTGCTGTCACAAAGTCACACAATCTCATAAATGTATTAACTTCAACAATAACACATACAACGCTACCGTCCAAAAGTAAAATTACGTTAAAGAGGTATAACACTCGTTTTACACTATTAAATGCATTCGTCGAACATTGTACTACTCCTAAAAATCAATGGCCAATGAAAGTGACAAATAATTATATTGTACTCGCTTATTTGATCAATAGACATCTATTAAAATAAATCTTCACATACAATATACATCGAATATAATATAAAACTTTTCATTATATAACGCTAATTGTTCGTGCGCGAGTGTGTATGTATACACACGCACACTACCATACGGTGAATAGTCAAATCCTCTCGATACATACTTCTTATACACTGTACAGGGATTGAATGTTCGTGGACAGACTGCATTTACTTTCCGTTCGTTTTTATTTTACGACACTAATACATAAAATTATGAGTTACAAACGACAATTAGACGTCTTAAAATATTAAGGGCTGTTGTTTGACAGCCTTCGATAATCACGTTTTGAGAGTTTTTGGAGATTTATGTTCTGTTTAATTATTATTGTTTCGCCTCTATTAATAAAAAATGTCGGGAACATTACATACATCTACCAAATTGGCATAAATTGTTTTACGAGCTTCTAGGGGGAGAGACTACATGGTTTAACGTCTTACTAGTAAGGATTCCATAGTTTGTGTCAAGCCTGCACAAGATGGGCATATGGATTATCAAGGTTCATTCAATAACTCCAAAACGGAGTCATTGGCTAAATCCTGCAGACATTGCCGCAGAATCCAATTTAAGGAGCGCAACAGTGGCTGCGGCTGAGAGCAGATTGCGAGTTGGCCTAGACCACTATTTGGACCGTTGTGTTGGCCTGGACCACTACTTGGACCGTTGTGTTGGCCTGGACCACTACTTGGACCGTTGTGCCGGCCCGGACTAATCTCCAATCTGTACCCAGCCGTGCCTTAGCCGCCGGATGCGGATGGGGTAAGGTCTTGTTATCTGCGGCAACGAGCGTGCTTGGGTTGTGACGTATGCCATGACATCTTCTACTAGCTCGCGTGGTGGTGGCTGTTCCAAGTGGTCAGAAATAAAGTAATCATACCATGCCACCACCAGCAATAGAAATGGAACTAACGTTGAAATCATGAAACTGGGCGAAAAAGACAATTCTGGTTGAGGTATTGGTTGGGGTATATAAAAAAATTGGGATGGTGGAGATTGTGATCTCGGGATAGATTCTGGTGAAGTGGAAGGTGGTCGGGATGTTGACGAAGATCGGGGTGTTGACGAAGATTGGGGTGTTGACGAAGATAGCGGTGTTGACAGAGGTTGTGGTTCTGATGGCAGCCGAGTAGCCGAAGAAGGACTGTTGGATGAAACAAGTCGGGGTATCGCGTAAGGCCAAGGTATCGAGAGAGGTCTGGGTGTTGAAAGAGGCGGCGTTACAGACGACCGCTTTATCGGAGGCGACGGCCCGGTGGCAATCTGTGAGAGAACCGGTGGAGTCGCGCGCCCCGTGGGTGAAGCTGAATCTCAGGCATCCGCGTCAGCACCCTTCAGTCGGAGCCGCGCGAAGTCCTCGAATATTATGTCGTCATCTTGCTCTTGACCGTTCTCGTCGCTGCGGGATAAACAGTTTATATTAGTGATGAAATAAGAGAGCAGAGAGAAATATAATAACAATAACATTTTGTAAACTTTGTTAAACATTAGGATTACTTCTAAAGCCATTGCGTTTACAGACACAAACATAGAATAATCAGGATCAAAAAAAGATATAATCTGTGAGGGTGGTACATTATACTTACGGATGTGGATCTAGCTGAATGAGGTCATGGTCTTGTACGCGCGGGGCGTCGGGGGCGGCGCGCGGCTCTTCCTCGGGTTTGGGATGCATCAGAATGAACGGCAGCTCCGCACTCAAGTCCCTGTAACCAAATAAACCATTTAGATATTCATTTGTAAATAATAACTATTGTGAGACATTGTTTGTACCGGTTTATCCACGCATTACATGCGATGCGATATATGATGCGATTTCGCCGGGCACGCATCTTATTAACGACCCTGTCGTAGTTCATACATAATCGGGCATCTTCGAGATATACGGAGTAAGTAGGGTAAACCGAATACAAAGTGAGTGTGACGAGAGCACATATTGGACTAATACTAGGTAAAAACCAAAAATATTATATTTACCCGCCGAGAGGTCCGAGACATAATTTCACTTTGACTTTATACTGCACTATGATGCCTAAATTTTCTCGTTGCGATGGATCGGCAATGCTGGAACCAAAAGTGATTTATTTTTATAATGTTTACAACAAGGTTTAACATACTATTTTATTAATTTCCTATAAAATGTATGTTGATTTAAACAGCAGTAGGGTTAAATATAGGTGTTAGTTTCGTTAGTACTCACAGCGTGCTGGACGCGAGGTTGGTGTCCTCGTGTTTGAGCTGTCCGTCGAGTGCGAGGCCCCACTTGTCCTTGTTGTTGGCCAGCAGTGGTGTCACCGTGAACACCTTGCTCAGGGTGAACCCGGGGCCCACTGGACACCCCTCCCTGTGTACAAAATTAGCCTTACAGAATAGGGACATTTCCAACATGTTATAATTCACTTTCAACTATGACTTTTGTCCTATGAAGTTTCCTATGACTTTTGTATGGAATCGATTATTTTAAAATTATTATTGACTATAGAAACATTTGTGTATAATATCTATCGTGAGACGTACGTTAGATAATGTTCATGCAGCCTACACGCGTCTTGATACTCGTCTAAATTGTTTCGAATCCGAACCTTTACTATATTTAATAATGCCACTTCTATACATCGAAGACAATGTACAATGTACAAACCACAACCGTCACCCATCCCGCGTGCATTTAAAATACAAAGCTATCGAACGTAAAATTATTAATTATTTTTGTTTCTTTGGACTACCTGTTAAAACTTCGAAATGTGTCAGGTCAGCAAAGGCATATCACCCTAATCGGTGGTAAAATTTCAGACTAAGTTGCATATATTGTATGGATTCTTATCGGATCAGTGTACGTAGTGTGTGGTCGTGTACGTATGTATGTAACTACGTATACTACGTATACGTGTTCAAGTGTGTTTTTTATATGTAATTCTTTTAATACTCAATAAAAAATCAATGCAGTTCGTTTAGAATAGTTAGTAAAAGTCAATGAATACACCACAACCGTTAATTTCCTAAGGATTTTTATCGTCTATTAATTTGGGGGGAATCATGAGCCACTTTCCGCATTTTAAAAAACGCGCATTATTTGAAATAAAACGGACCATTGTGTCTTTTTGTAGAAAACGTCTAATTAAGCTCATGCTTATAAGGAATTCACCTTAACAATATTTGGTAGTAACATAATTATTTCACTAGCCTCCCCATTCACTTCCGTAAATACGGTATATAAAGGCAGTTTTTTGTTCGTGATACCTATGAAAGAATGATAAAATCAAGGCATTCTGTAGTAAGCGAGAGGAGGGGGGAGGGAGGGTCAAACAAGTCATGCATCATACGCACGCTGTACTTACACGGACTGCATAGATACTTTCTTATTGAATATCCCGATAAAGGGGAATTTAAATAGTCTCGCCGACATCGATTTGGGTTCCCTGAATAACAAATGGATATAGCTCAACTCTTTTACTTATAGACATAAAGTCGAAAGTACCTCGACTTTCAAATTACAAACATGGGTTTGAATAGTGATAATAGACGTTATGCATATAGAAATACGGAGTATACTCACTCGCTCTCTGTTTCAGCGACGGTGCACTTGTACTGCGCGGTCGAGAAGAGACAGATGTCTGCGAACTGGCGCACGGACACCTTGATACGCTTCACCGACCGGTTGGAATTGTTCGCTATGTGTACGTTCACTGCTATGTTCTCGCCGTGGTGGTATAACTCCTGCACAGGACAACATGTTGCTAAGGTATCAGTCAGATCTCATCCATGTCATCTAAGTCATGAGGCGTTAAAGTGCATTTAAGTGGAAGATTTCACAACGCGCAAGGTTACCTTATCTAGGGAAGCTTCCAGATACAGTTTGTTGGGGCTCATCATAAATTCTTTGGATACTTCGACGGAAGGTTGCTCGCCTTGCTTGCTCGGCGCATACATTATCTTCCTGATAGCTAACCGCACAGAATTCCTGCATGAAAAACAATGAAAATATAGAAATTGTTTCCTTCGGGCCAAAGTTTCCTCTACATAAGCCTTTCTATAGTATTTCGAGCGTTGTACGTCTGAGCGCCGTGCATGCCTGTACTTCAAACACTAAGTTCACCCTAGCGCGGTGAATGCACTTCTCTATCTAGCAAAGCTTAAGGCGTTAGCACAATAACGCTTACCGCTGCGCTTTCGGTGCGAAACGTGATACGTGTTCAAACATTTTGGTCTGCTTCCGCAATGTTTTCGCAGCCGACTGCGTGGGCGTGCTAACGGCGTAAAGTAGAAGAGGTGTGTATCAGCAAACGTGGAGCAACGACTGGGGCACTCAAATACTGTATGTGTCCTCTATCAGGAGCGGGTCTTCTACATACACGTATTGTGGCGGCCGACCTACCTCTTGTGTGGCTTGTCATCCTGGGAGTCCGCCACGAACGCCTTCAGCTCGTAGTCTACCCCGCAAGGCTTGCCTGTCTCGCCGGGCGCGGGCTGCAGGGTGACGGAGGCGGGGCAGTGCGGCGGCAGCTCGAAGTAGAAGGGATGCGCGGCCGCGCCTAGCTTGCGGACCAGCCTCTCCTGCAGCCGCGTCAGAGGCCGCTTTGTTGTGTTCGTCGCTGGGTATATCTGCGTAGCAAAGTGATTTTTATAAGTCTATAGATTACAACGACAGCTACTGAAATTACTTGTTCACATAAGTTTGCAATTGTACCAAGAACATCTACTCAGTTATCAGTGAACAGTTGGTACCTAGCTGTATTCCCTGGACATCATTAAAGAATACTGATTGAAACGTAAATCAGTTTTCAATTTAGATTTACAATTATATATCGAAGTAATCGGTAAATGAAAGCATTCGTTCATGTGCACTGCTGTTGATTAGATACTTGATTGCTTATTCAAAATGGTGAGAAGAATCTCTGGTAATCTGTTTAGGTTGTACCAAATCCTGATTAATTCGAAACGTGATTTTTAGCTTAAAGAGCTCAATGATACGTTAAGTCTTATCAACAAAAGAATGGCTTCATAATCTATCTTATATACCTATATGAAGCTGTAGAGTTTGTTTGTTTGTTATTGTATAAACAATAAGGATACGTAAGTATATAAGATATCTTTCTATAAGTAGTTGTTACCTGTTCAGCGGCCAAGTAGAGGTCCTTGCGGAAGGTGAGCCCCAGTACATCGAGGTCCTCCCGGCCGTACCTGAACGCGGCCAGTACATGGCCAAACACCTTCCTGTCCTTCACATATTCTGGGTCAATTAGGACAACTCCATCTAAAAATTAAAATCAAAATCACACCTTAAATTTGTGTTTTCAAGGATACGACCTCGAAAAACGGGTCCATTGTGATTGTAATACCTACATCGGTTACGTAATATAATTTCTGTCGAAGATCTACTAAAATCAATAAAATATTGATTGATTTAATTAAACTTCACACGATAGTCTATTCCGTGATTTCCGTGAAATAGTGAATCACCATTGTTATATCTGATTCTGATTACTTAAGCTGAAAATGACTCAAATGGTAGTATCATTCACAAAAATGTAATCATTTGAGAAAACCTGACACAGTTGATGCTCTAATCCCACCCATATCAATCGATAACAACTAGGCTAATATTACAATTAGTGATTCGATACAGTGTTGCATTACCATAATTACACGCTTCGCTCCAGATCGTGAGGAACAACCGCTAACTCCAATCGGTGATCGCATATCGTTAGCTCACGGCATGAATATCTGGTACCTTCCGCGCTCATAACTCGATACGAGATGGTGTAACCAGCCATCCGACACTAACAAGAAGGCAGCCAATATCAAACGCCAAGTATAACTCTAAATACAGGAAAAGTTCTCGGGAAATGTAGTGACGTATATAATCTTGTATTTACCCAATTAGAGTAGCTTTATACGCATTTTGTAAACAGTAGTAAACACTTACTCATAGTAAATTACAATCTTTGCTGAGTGTTGATGTGTTCCATTGAGAAAATTTGCTACGCGTGTCGTGATGAATCATTGATAAATAATTGCACGGATCAAACCTGTGTTTATCGTGCAAACAACGTGATATACACTTTGTTAGTGTCATACGAGTTTGTGGTTTTATAGCACTTAGATACTTAGTTGTGAATGGAATGAGATTTGTTAATTTTATGTCGCATCCTACCATTAAAATGCAGCTCATTCTCATTATAAAATTAACAAAGAGGGTACTAGATGTGATTCTGTAGACACAGGACGTAACTATTCTGCAATATCTGGCCTGTTATATTACTTCCAAGTGGACTGACAACGAACACATCTTGGGTGGGATTGGCAATTTATTATACAAAGATCGTCACCGGCACTCCCTTTACGTCCAGAGCGAGGTTCACAGTAACTCGGTTCAATTGTTTGAATACTCAGCAACTTCGATCAAATTGAACCTTCGGGGTGTTTGTTCTAGATCTAGACCATATCTTTTATCTTTAGAACTTACCAATCGGGTCTACATGTGTGATGTGGTCTACGAAGTCTCTTTTCCCTAAGTATACGGTGATCTGGAAAGATAAAAATAATCCAATTAAATCTCAAAAGTTGACCTCAAAGGAAGAGCTAATTATTTCAAGTGTTTCGGTTGGCAAACTAAGTAAGATTATGTTAAAAAGAAATACTTCGGAAGTTGTCACAAAATTTGGCAAACATAGAGACTGGCTTGTCTTGGAATTGGCAAGCAAGCATGGTGCGATGTTATAAAACGACATATAGAATGTATTTCTATTATAATCACGTTATGGTAGTCCAGCAACGAAGAAATTATACGACGTGTTATTACAGTCAACAGGGAGAACAATGTTTGTTCTACAAACATGACTCTTGATGCAGTAAAAACATAAGTCGAATAAATACGTATGCTAGCTGCGAGATAATAGAATCTGTGGAAGCCTGAGGCTAAAAAGCTGTGATTAGCTTCGTGATTCTGATTAAAAATCGCTCATGAATCGAAGGAACAAAAGATAATGAATGAGAACTTTCTCGGGTACCTTTTAAAATCAACTTGAAGAAATTGAAAAAAATCGTGTTTAATATTCCCCAAACGGCCATTTCGGTTAATTTAAAAGGTAATTGACTGGTTTATATAAAAAATGGCTTCAGCTGTCCTTTGTGAAGATTTTTGTAATTTGTAAAAGGTCATTTAAGGCTTAGATATATTGCGACCGAAATCCACTCGCAGGATCCCTTTTATATTAGTTCTGTCAAGGTTAGAACCACGTTTTACGTATGAATTCTAAAAACATTAAAACTACAAAATGGCTTCAGATGAAATTCCACATACAGAATAATACAGACATACATTAGACACACACTCGAATCTAGACCTGTGATTGACAAAGTACAGGCACGTGTGTTGTCTTCGGTTCTCGAAATGTTGGCGCAGTGATTTTTATTATGGACCGTCAGGGTAAAATTCATTAGGAATGAGATTATTTCTCAAACTTAATGGTAAGCTCCCGGGTTTAGGCCTTTCAACCTCGTATTAGGGGCGGAAAAGTGGTTTTATAATAACACGGTATGCAGAAATGTATGCTTAGGTACCTTGCCATTTGGCGAGCTCTTCTTGAAGACTCGCGTGGCCTGTCGCTGCTTGTTGCTGCCGGCGTCTTCCATTCTGTCGCCGCGCCCTCCTCAACACTGCAAAAAAATCAGACAGTTATTATACATGATCTTCAACCCATAATATCTATCCACTGAAATTGAATAGAACCTAAAGGAAGATTAGTAAGTACATCGAATTTTTTACTTTGAAATAATATAATAGTGATATAAAAGCTTTATTATTCAACATTATTAATTTATTTTCAATGTAAACATTCGTTATTACATTACAATCCATATTTGGAGAAGGATTTACCTTATCCAATATGACGAGTAATTACGAACGGAGTGACGACACGACTAGTTTCGTCAACACTATGACCACAATAGTACTGCGAAGTGTGAGAATACCTAATTTAAAGGTCACAACTTATAGCAGGTATTTCTTATGAATGACTTATCAGGAAATTATATTTACATAAGGATAAAAACAATTCAGCTGACGACATTACCAATTTACGTTTGTATTGATGCAAATGATGACTCTTTTTTCGAATGCACTTTAGGTATTCTCGAATTTATTGGATTAGGTTTGGAGATGCTATCGAACACTGATGACGATAGCATTTAGGAACGTCGAGGGTGACCCTAAGAACAACTACGTTAATTTCATATTCTAACAAAATACTATTGCGCTGTGTTATTAAATAAAAAAAGAGATTCTATAATCTTTAGAACAGGTTTAACAAGATATTGAATTAGCCAGCAAATTGGATGTAAAACCAATTTCCAATACCGACTTGTTTATGTATTAACAGTAATATATTTAGTTTGGTTGAAGATATAAACATCTGAGGTTTTGGAGAACCAAGTTCAGGAGCAAAAATTCAGTAGCAAAGATATTTTGGAAGTGTCTATAGCAACCAAGTTTATTGGCTGCTCTTATTAGAGAACTAACTTAGATTTTAGTTCGACCAATTGAATATTATTATAATTATGGAGAAGAGCAAAGTGCACGAGTGTCCGGGAAACACTAATGGATCTTCGCTAGTGCAAGCATTAATATAGTGTGTATGAGGATATAATTTTATTATGACTCCACATACACTTTTTGTTACAATATTATTACATTTTCCTTTTCTTTCCAAATATTCTATGGCCGACTATTTTACTGATTCTTAGTATTGTACGTAGTCTGTAGGAAAAACATATTTTTGGCTTTTACAAAACCACACACTTACTCATTTATTTCAAGTAAGTACTTTTTGGTATTAACATAATTACGTGAAAGTTCCTGCAATAAACGGAAAACTGTAAAATAACCAATATTAATTATTTGAATTACTTATTATTGGCCATATTAAAATGACCGATTCTTTTAAAAATCAATATAGGTAGCTTGCAGAAGGAAATATGAGAAAATTGTGAATAATGTGGGTAAGCAAAGCAGCGTATTTAACTAGAATGCTATGAGTTCACTGATGTTCCGACGATAATAATTACGTACTTAGTCACAGTCCCGGCAAGTCTTGTTCCCAGTAGTCGAAGTACGTTGGTGGTTGTAATTATAGCTTTAGGCGTCGTTATCATTTAAGAGGATCAGTTTCCTTTGAAGTGCTCCGATCAAGGTTTGTCGGGACGTAATTATCAGTGGGCTATTAGAGAAAATTATTACTGGAAACAACGACGTATTGGAATATTAGTAACATTGCCAGATAAGTATGAGAAAGTACCTAATACGATTACAAAGTTACGCGAGTATTGTAACAATATCAAAAAGGGACTCATCTGGGTGGGTTTGGGAAGGCATGTTTACAAGTCGTGGTTTGTAAACACCGTAATTGAAGGCCTTTTCTTTGATTTGAAAACTTTTTCTTATAACGCCACACCCTTTGCAAAGCCATTAATTGAAGACGAACGAATGATCCAAGTCGTGTCCACTCGTAAACCTCGAATGGTTAATGATTGCTAAACAGTTTGATGAGTTCTTGGATTTAATCTGTAGTTTTGGTTTAATAACTTAGCGAAACAATTACAATTTCGAGTATTTACTAGTAACATAAACTCATTATCACGTTAGCGAGTTCCAAGCATATTAGCACATTACATTGATCTGTTTAGAATTCATCTGATAATTTAACTTGAACATTCGCTGTACGAAATCCACAAGATATCGTATTATTTGATATGACAACAAGACCCCACGGGCCCGTGAGCGCAGACATCTTTAATATCGCGAATTCACGAATATTTCCCTCCCATACATACAATATGATATTACGTAATGATATCGCGGCAACAAAATTGACTTTGAATAGCATTGAAAACGTACGTGACATGAAAATCTCAATTGTATTTTGTATTTATCACACTTTTAAACATGCGTAAGAATGTGGTGGTGCTACGAAATACATATTTTAGATTTTTCTGTTTTACATAACATAACATCACGCCTTTTATCCCCGAAGAGAGTAGGCAGAGGTGCACACAGAAGTAATACCCACTTTTCACTATTTATGTTATTAGTCTCATGTAATAGGGGGTGAAGTTCTGTGGAAGATGTATCTCTAGTATCTAGGTTATACTGAATATATAGGTAACTTTTTCATTTTATAATCCAAATAAGTACCTAGATGTTTAAATGTTTAAGTGTGCTAGAGCCATGCTTCGGTACGAATGGGCCGGCTCGACCGGAGAGATACCACGGCCGAGCAGAAAACCGACGTGAAAAATCGCTTGCGTTGTGTTTCGTGATTTCATCGTGTGAGTGAAGTTACCGAAGGCCCAATTACCCCCAATGGGGAGCCATTTTCCTCAATCCCCGAATCACCCACAATCCTCAAATATCCAATGCCCAAAAGGCCGGTAACGTCTATGGATTTTCATGTGTCCATGGGCAGCACCGATTGCTTATCATCAGGTGATACGTCAGATCGTTTACCGGCTTACCCCATAAAAAAAAACTCGTTATATAAGACAAAAAGATAACATTAACAAACAAAACAGGTAAACAATACATAGGCAGACATAAGTATATGAAAATTACCTGAAATATTGTTTAGTAATTAAGTAAATTATGTAAGCAGGTAAAATTATTACGAACTACGAATATAAAATTTACCATTTTCCTTAGTTCGTTGAAATCAAACCCAACTGAAAATTCTACTGAAACTAGGATTTGAATATAAATTGATGCAAGTTGACAGACTGGTTGAGCGAATAATTGATGCGTTAGTAGGTTTGGTTCACACTATTTTATACGGTAGTCATAACCGAGTACCCGCTTTGGTCCGTACTCAGTAAGAAAGAAAGAAAGAAAAAAAAACTATTTATTTTGCTACGACACACAACAAGAATTTAGAGACACCGAAAAAAAGCCCATGGTGCGTCGCAGCGCAAAAGGCTGGAGCTCAGCTTATGATCCATAAGATGACGTAAGAGCTAGCTTCTCCACAAGTACATAGGTACTACATACGATTGTAAGCTAGATATGGACGTACGTACATAGACATCTAGTCCACTAGATCATGTACTTAGAACAGGTGTCGGTATCAGGTTCGTTCCCAGACTCATGTTACAAGTCTAGTGAGTATCGAGGCGCCGACAAACCACAAGAACGTTACTTTGAGAAACTGTTTATGTACTGTAAAGGTCTGCACAGACGAGGTACTTATATTCGATACAAATACTTACTATGATACTTTGTATGGTACGTTTTTTTTTAAGGGGAGAAAAATCATCGAATGACTGCTCCCGCCTGGGTGAGGCGGGAGTGTCAGACTCTTACTGACTAAAAACCACCCCGTTCCTTCTCCTGCACGTCGAGCCGGAGCCCCGGTTACCCGTTAGGTTCTCCGCGACTCCGAATCGGCATCAGCCCTATTGGGCCCCATCTGTCAGATATCAGAAGAAGTTTATAGAGGTTTGAATTAGGATCTTCGGCATAGTTTTGCAGAATTTCTGTCAACAATCAATCTAGAGATTTTGGAATATTGGTTTTTGGAAACGTCAATTTTCATTTTGTTTTTGACATAATTAATTTTGTGTTTCTTAGTGAATAATTGGATATGCTTTAAAGGCACACTGACAGTACCCCATTAACAGTTAAGTTCTCAGTGATTTTTTTTATAATACTGAAGTAACTGAAGTGAAAGTCTCTCGTCTACAAGTGGCGTAAGGAGTAGAGTACGTTGGTTTCAGACGTTTAACCGAAGTGTTGTTTCATGTACCGTCCGCTGTTATTGTAGTTTCACTATTTATTGTATTGCCACTGATATAAAAGGAAATATTTTGTTGATTTGATTCTCTTTTTTTTATTATGAGTAAATAAATATTAAATATGTAGATACTTGAAAAACTGTTTATTTTGTTATTTATTCGATTAAACGCCATACTCAGAGTCATTTAATGGCTACTTAACCTAGTCTTTCGGAACAAAATCGTTACTAAGGAATAGTAAGTAATCATTAAATGTCTCTGACTACGGCTGTAAATATTATAATTTCGATTCGATGTTCAATTCACACCTGAATTTAAACACATATTTATATGAATACTAAAACTCAAACATTATGATTCCTGTAACAAACTTAACAATACCACTTGAACATCTTCGTACGATCTAAGTACTAACATACTGTGGGGCGGTAACATCGAGCTGTTGCTAGGCAAAGTTTTATAAGGATTAGGAAAAGGATTAATCTAGTATTATGTATAATCGAAACAGCTTGTGAAGCCGGATGTTTAGGTAAATATTATTACTCTTCTAGATATACCTTTAAACGAAACTTTACAACACAAAGGATATCATCGCTATAGAGTTGAGATTTTTTTTTAAGGGGGGAAAATCATCGAATGACTATTCCCGCCTGGGTGAGGATACTCGAGAAGGATCTACAGTAAGGTTGTGGTGGGCTTGTCCAGATTTGAAAAAAAATACCGAGCTGGGCTGGAATAATAGAATACTAGCAAAACCACGGTACCAAAGAGCAACAGTTCAGTTACAAATAAAAAATGAATACTTACTAATAAATCAATTAGTATTAATTATACCGAGAATTTTATAAATCTCCAACGTCTTAAAATATAATTGGGCCCTGTTCAGGTTGGTAAGTCACAAGTAAAATACAGGGCATAGATACTTTTACAAAATAAAATACAAATATAAAATAAAGATAAGTGGGAGAGTATCTACGCAACCGGCACTCGAGACATAAAACAATATGGTATCAATTTCCTGAAAATAGAACAGCTATCGAAATATTCCGTAATAAAACATTGGTATTTTAGAACGATATTTTGCGTTGAAAAAACAATGATTTATCTACCGGGCGTCATTCGTCGGATTCAACAGGATTTTATCGATAAATTGATAGACAGATGCTGGTACAAACCGCGCTAAGTGTATGCGAGCTTAATTCTAGCATAGTGACTGCCTGTGACATGTTGTAATGATGTATCTTTTGAACACTTTTAGTCTTCTAGGAAGGAAAATTCAGATGCGAAGCATAGTATGTTTTCTGACATCTTACTAGTCATGTATCGAAGTAGCGCCGGATAGGCAGCGAGCCTATTGTTAAACATTCGTAGGTACTATTATTCAGTTTAACTTCTATTCATCCAAATACAAAAGTACTTGCAAGCACTCAACCAAAAAGCCTGTAATGTTTTATAAGGTTCTTTATTACAAACATGTCACAGAATGTGATCAAGCGCGAACACATGATATATCTACAAATCGTGATTGGGGACAATAAAATTGTCTCCCCCAACCACCGGATACTGGTCTCACGCTTCGCTCATCCAAAGAATTTCCCTCAATTAACAATTCCTATCTAACATTTTTTTCTATCGACCCAATTACTTTAGGGAAAACCAAATCTGGCGTCGCGCCATGGAAATGGAATATGAAAGACAAAGGCAATACGAAGAATTATAGAACAAGGTCAATTGAATCCCTACTTAAAAGATTTGTTTATATAAATTGTATTATTTACTTGATGGCGTTCTAGAAATACAAACGTACTTGCATCATTCGCTTCATTAAAAATTGTAATACCCTGACAAATACGCCTAAGATTACAGCCCCTTTAATGTAAACTTGTGAAACGTTATGTGCCAAGAACATATTCGACAAAGACGTAATAATGATTTAAGATTCATAACATAGTATGCGTATGTATTTAAGGGCATTTTTTTTTTTTTTTTTTTTAAGGGGGGAAAATCATCGAATGACTGCCCCCGCCTGGGTGAGGCGGGAGGGAGTGTCAGACTCTTACTGACTAAAAACCACCCCGTTCCTTCTCCTGCACGTCGAGCCGGAGCCCCGGTTACCCGTTAGGTTCTCCGCGACTCCGAATCGGCATCGGCCCTATTGGGCCCCATCTGTGGTGGTCTGATGGCTCTTTGAGGCGCGCGCGGAACGCGACGCGCCGTACGCTCGGGTCTGTTTCTGGTCGGACGGGGAGCCACCCATGCTCGCCGTCCGCAGGCCCGCGCTTACGGTGGCCGGAGATCGTCCCGCGATCCCCGACGCCCGGTGTGTCCTTCGCGATGGCTGGGTTGCGAGGAGGCAGCGCTTCGCTGCCTCACGCGTCCCGCCTCCTCCTTAGCTAGCATGACTGCTTCGCAAAAGGAGGAGACGGCATCCCAATCCCCCTCGCTCCGCATCATGGCCTGCACTAGGCCCGGACGCGAGAGGTCGCCATCGCCGATCACTTCCCTGAGGACACGGCGGTGCTCAGCCCACGAAGGGCATTCTCCCACCGTGTGTTCCACCGTGTCCTCAGGGCGGTCCTCGCAGTGATGACACCCGGGCGTTTCCTCCCGCCCCATCAGACACAGGTACCTCCCGAAACTTCCATGTCCGGTGAGGACCTGCGTCAGGCGGTAGGTGAGGACGCCGTAGCGTCTCTCAAGCCACTCCTCAAAGAGGGGACTTACCGCTGCGATGGCAGCGAGCCCAAGTATTTAAGGGCATAGGTACACATAATAATATATGTGCCGTGAAATTAATTCATAATATAAAGAGGGAATCTTACCAGATTTTCCATAATACTAAGAATATACGTTTACTTTGTTGGTACTCGAAAATAAATAGACTTAACATCAAATTCCTGTGAAAAGTGTTTAAGTCGTATCTTATACGATCATAAAATCAATATTAGAATATGTGTTAGCGCTTTGGAGAAACATATTAAATGTTAATTAATTATAATAAAATTATGTATGTTAGAAACAAGATTTAAAAGATATCCGAATATTCCTCGGAAAAATACTTTTGATTTAAAACATTAGACAGAATCGAGGAGGGCTTTGTACCTAGTCTTATAGGTAAGTACGTTTACATAGGTCTACATTGCATCTATAAATTCGTGGATCATACGAAGAAGTTGATCAAGGGAGAAGTTTTACTCACGTGGAACCCTGGGCGGCTCCAGGGTGCGCGATCTCGCTACACCCTAAGCCTGCGCTGCCACGCCGCCCTGCAACAATGCATACACCACTATAGTAAATTGTATTACAAAGTATCAGCCTTAGCTATTTAACCTAGGTAGTAAGTTCAGATTTTTGTTTCAGAAACTAGCAGCTACATTCTACAATACAAATTTTCAGGAACGCGAACACGAGACGCCTATTTTTATTGTAAAAAAAACTTTTCTAGAGCATGCAAAACAATGTTTCATATAAGCTAAATAATTTCCTATTGAGAGGCATTCACTTTCTGCTCCGGACGGCATGCTACGCACAAGTTCAACGCTATTGTTGCCGATACTCCATTGTTATTGAAAATGTTACCTGTATTTTTCCAACGGTTATAGTTTCACTACAAAAGCACAACCGTGACATAATGTGGGTTTTCGCGCTATTAAAGGTGCTAGTGTAGTTTTAGGTGTAGGTGTTGAATAAAATCTTCAAATTCAAATTCTTTTATTGCATATCATGTGTAAAATTATTCGTGTTACATGAGGCACAGTTTCAACATGAAACTCGGCTAGGGCATGCTGTGCCCTAGCCGGACATATGGAGCAAAATATAATCTAATTAAATTTCTATTAATAGTTATTATATTATAAGTATAACATAAGAAATGTTGTTTTCGTACTAAACATTAACATAGTTTCTTTATTTTATTATAATATGTATTAACATAAATTTCTTAATAATCTTGCTAATGCCATGTCATAACAATTTACTCGTGACAGCAGATGTATGGACTATTAGAACCTTTAGTTTACTAGCGCCATCTAGGGCTCGTAAAATCAAAAATGGCGTCATACTATTACAAGTAACGATCCAGGAATCCAATCAAGGACCCTTATAACAACAATTTTATTAACAAATACAAGCAGTAAGACAGGTAGCATGTTTTCCCCATTACTCTGCAGGAAGTTACAAGGTACAAACAAAATTAACTTGAAGATTAAATTAATCAACAACAGACGTCAATATCAAAATATTTGGAAGAGGACATCGTCTTTACTACCTCGTGAATAAATAACAGCAAAGACGTGCTTTGTTTCATCACCGCGATGGAATAAGGCCGTAACTTTAACTTTACAAAGACAATTAACCCTGCCTTCGAGAGTTGAAAACAACGTCTAATAAAGGCTTGAAAACAATAGTGCTAATTTCTATTAGTATAATAGGTAACTTGTAATAGGTACGCCATGTTCCACGGGTTCTCCCAATGGAGATGCGAACGAGGATAATGAGATATCACGTCATACATTTTACATTCACTGACACTCGTGGAAATTAACACACGTGGGTGGACCCCGTCGCCCCGCCTAGGGACTACGCTTAACAAGCTAATTCTTTTGTTTTCATAATGTTTTTGTTGATTTAATACAGTTCAGTTTGTTGTATGCTTTTAGGTATAGTTCACTGTTTGCAGAGTATTCTTGTGGAAAAATTGCGAGTATTTAACAAAGTTTAACACCATGTTTATTTCTAAACGAGGTAGGTTCTGTCTATAAGGTTCTAATCTAAATCAATGTACACTGAATTATTCTTCTATCTTAACTTAACAATCAGTAACCAAAACTATTTGCGTGTGTCATACATGAACGTAAAACCGCATACATAATTAAATAATTACATTTTTTGCACGTCCGTGTACATCATAAACCTGTATCGTACGTCCTTCAAATAGATACTAGTGTGTAAACATTCCATATATCTCGTTACTAAGAAACCACAAACATATGGGAAATGTTACGAGCGGTGTGACGTCATATATCCGGAATCAAGCCCGAGGCATACTTCTCCGCAAATCTCCGATACTACCCGTTTTCCTGTACCGTGTCGACACAACTAAGTACATAGCCTAAGTAACAACAAGTAAATCTTGACATGAGGTACAGAAAAATAGAAACTGTTATAAACAAGCCAGTGTATTGTTTAGGAAGGTTTGTTATTTAAGCTTTCCACAAAACTGGATTTTGCATGACCTGAATTGATATCATTTCTTTTAATGCGATGAAATTGTAACTGCGGCAGCCAAATCACGAGGAAGAAATGATATCCGTACAACCTCAAATTGAAATACAACAAAATACATCGAAAATGACTTGAAAAGGGATATAAGTGAAGCAATCCAAAGCTATGGAAACAACAGCGAATAATTAAATTATAACGTTCATAAATATACCAAAGTATAGAAAACCTTTAAAAGACCGAGTTGTCAATTAAATTCCTTCGAGGTTTAATTATAAATTCGATGGGGAGAAAGAACGTAAAATTCTTTGTAACTCGGCCGGGTTCGCATTACTGCCCATGAAAATGATTGAACTCCTTTCAATCAAGCTTTTCAACGGGGAAAAAGTTTGTTTTCTAAAGACTTGTGTACACTGTGAAGAATATTTTCAATATAATTTATAAAGCAAATTGCTGTTTAAAAGTTATCAGTCAGATCAATCAAATAAAGTACCAACATGCGAAGGTTCCTCGCTCCCTTCATGCAAATCGAACGAAGCAAGGATATCTGGCAGACATCAATATGCAAGTTAATTGATCCAGACGTAAGGACACCCGCCTATAGTCGAGGACCGTACCTTTCGCATTCATAGATGAATCTTAATTATTATTTGGGGTCGAGTGAGTTCCAACAAGTGTGTAATCGAGTAGGCGGACAGAACGCTCAGAAGGACCCATGTGTAACGTTCACAATACACACATAACTCTCTCGTTTGGTACACTAACAATAGATAAAAGACTGTTCAACTGTCGGATACAAAAGATATTTTCTTAAGAACTTCTGAAAAGAAAACGTGTATGAATACCTTGTTTGATTTCCAGAAGACGATACATGTGGAATATAACGGAATCTGTAACTATTTAGTGTATCATAAAAAGAAAGAATCGAAAACAGTCGTTACTAAAAATAAAGCAACAACTATAAGAAATGGGGCTTATAGAAGGATGATTTGGACAAAAAATTCCGTCTATGACATCCGTTAAATGAATCCTAATTGAACGATAAAGCTTTATACAATATCTGAAGCAGTTGTGAACAATAAGAAAACTCATTAGCAACTTCACTAAGCGATACGTAGTGGAAAGAGTGCTACTAAAGCTTTTAAGTTCTCACCAGATCTTTTGTTTGTACCATTGAAGCCTTATGTTTTCATCGTACATTAGCGCCATGTTCCGTAGATATCGCCTCGCGTAATTTACTCGGAGCAGTTTAACAACTCGTTATAAAGGGTCGTCGGACTAACTCGTACATAATGACAGAACCAACGGTCCGAGGATCATTTCGTAAACAGTAACTTATAATACGATTTATTTTTACTACACATTTGTACTAAACAGCAGTAGACGACTCGACTAAACATGTTTAATGTCAATGAACTATGAAAACCTAAAAGGTTCGCTTTGTTAATGCTACTCATATTTATACAGACACATTAAAGTCGCTATTGAGTTAGGAGACAGATACTGAACAACGTTTTAATGGAAAATTTAAATTAATTAAAACGAAAATTAATTAACACACTCTTACATCGCTTTCAAATCAAAAATCATGCAATACACACAAAGTGCTTTCGACAGATCCTATTTGGTGCTAGTCGGTACGTGTCAGTGTGGGAAATAGTACTTGATAAGAATTGACACTGCCATGATTACCGAGATCCGGGCTCCATTTGGCATTGAACCGGTGACGGGGGATCGTATAATCGGATTGCCCACCATCCGTCCCGGTGGCTTGGGTCGCCACCGAACACGATAAACCGAGACTGACTTATAACTTCGGCATTTCATTTACGTCGGGGCCAAAGGTAAGTCCCAAATCGATTATGTGTTTAGTATTCTAGACCTGACTGCGGCCTTGACCGTTGATAACTCGATTGATATTGATGATAAGATTACCTGTTTTAAGGATAAAAGTTTTATGACTGACTATAAAATAGACTCTTGACGCTGAAAGACTTATTTTTAACGTTGTAATCGTGGATGTTTTTATTCACTATTTAAAAAGTAATCGAAATAGAGCAAAGTGTGAACTGTGTTGTATTTTTATTTTTCCCTGTGTTGGAATGGATATCTCCTGACACCATTGTGGTCACCGTACTTACTCCGACGGGCCGAGACTGACCGTTATTGCCTTGTTTACTTTTCCATTTATATCTCATTCCCCGGGATTGTACATCACCCCTCCTTGATTGGAGTTTTACCGATTTATTTTACTACCCCCCATCATGTTTAGTGAATTCATCCTCATAAACCGAGCATGATTTAGTATCTAATACAGGATGCATAACATTATGTTATATAATCTTCAACCAAATATTAGCATAGTTAAGGTAAATATTAGGATGTAATGGCGACCACAGAACACGAATACTTACACATAATGTTAAGATTAGATAAACATCAAACGTGGTGCATTCCAATGAGGAGGTGCTGGAGGTACTTAGGTTTATTTGCATTGACGTCAAATTGATGATATTCTAATAAATTCAATGATAAAACGATGCTACTGTGTTTTAAATCGTGTATTAAAATAGCTAGTTGCAATTGCTGATTCAGAAGATTAACATTCATTACAGACTGTATAAATCGAGTATTAAAGCCACGGCCGCTATCACCTGACACATCTTTAACATACCGCACAAATCTTTTCAGAATCAGTACACTCCGTCTGTTTTTCAATCGGTATTTGGATCAAATATATGGCCAGACATTTTTTCATTACGTTCGAGAAAGAAAACACATAACTCGAGCATGACAAATATTTGTTCAAGCGTGAACGCTACAAATGAAAATAGACCGTAATATACGCAGTAAAATGTTATAAAACATGAAACCTATTGTAGATATGTTCTAAGAATCGTAACATCATAATGGCCGTACTATTTGGGTACCGTACACATAAAACAAGAACATTTACAATGGCAATTAATTACAACTGTTCACGAGCGAATTATGGTGTCCGCGTGGCGATCCGTGACAATAAATTGATGAGAAAAATTCCGCAGGA